TGTGTGTGTGTGTGTGTGTGTGTGTGTATATATATATATGTGTGTGTGTCTGTGTGTGTATATATATATATGTGTGTGTGTCTGTGTGTGTGTGGAGTGAGAGAGAGATTTTTCAGGCCATGCATCCATGTTTGACAAGTGAAAATGTTTCGTGTGTCAAAGTTTCCCTTTCCCTCTGCATACTTTTCCAACTCAGTTAATCTTGGTGTCACAGACTTCTAGGATTTTGGACACAGTGTAATCTGGCTTCCTGTTACTGATTGTTACCAGTGGTTTACATATTGTTTCAAGCCCTCTGTGTGCGATGATGCTGGGTCTTAGCCCCAGGATTTTGAGCTTGTTCTTTCTCATACTTCTGAGTTGGTTATTTTGTAGTTCTTGGTTTCTTGTCTGATTATGTTACTTCCCTTTCAAACCCAGTGTGTCCCAGTCTTGTCTCTGTTTCGTCATCATCTCCTGTATAAGTCAGTCATGCCTCCATGTTTTGTTACTCTTTCTGCCTCCTCAGTCGTGTCACCATGCCTGTCTGCTCTCTCTGCTTCCTGTCTCCATGCTAGTCAGGGTTACCTGTCTTGCCTACAGAGGTAGGAAGTAACAAAGTACAATTAATTCACATATCTAAACTTTACTTGAGCATTTTTTCTGAATACATTTTACTTTTACTCTCTACATTTTTAAACAAACATCTGTACTTTCTACTCCTTACATTTTCAAAACATGCTCATTACTTTTGTGGGTCTGGGTGGAGTTATACCAGCTTGACACAATGAACCCGATGACCACAGCATTGTAGTTTGTCCTTAAATTTACAGTTTTAAAGGTGCAGCTTTCCAGCTGCTTCGTCTCTGCAGCACACACCGCTCTCCCCTCCTATCGTGGCAACATCCTTTAAAGAGGAAACATGATTAGATGATGAGGTCAGGTGTGTGAGTCAGCCTCCACCACACCCTAAACCCACTGAAGAAGGGAGTAATATTAGCACTCTGTCTCCCGTTTAGAATTGCCAGAGTCTATCCACTCTGTTGTACAGGCGCTGCTGACTTTGCTGGGCCTGAAGCAAATTTTCTCATGATAACCTTCCCAATGTGTAGCTTTAAAGTCTTATTCAGCCGCTCCACGACCCCCATCAGTCTGAGGGTGGTAGACACTGCTCCGAACAGATTTAATTCCCAGTAATTCACACAGTTCTTTTAGTGTGCAAGACATGAAAGAATTGTCCTGGTCAGTCAGTATCTCTTTTGGGATGCTGACTCAGCAGATGACCTGAGAAAACCCCCAAAAGTTGACTCTGTTCATCTGGATGTTTTCAGTGGGAAAGAACCTGCAGTCAGCTGAGCCTGAAGAAGTCAGCTGGATGAGTGACGAAACGTGTCTCCCACTGGAAACGTCCAGATGAACAGAATCAACTTTGGAGGTGCTACAATGGAAAATCTGCAGTGGAGTGAATAACTGGAGCTGGCGGGGCCTCATAAGAAGGCTGTGCCATATCGTCCTCCCCAGAGTGTCGGGCGACCCCATGTCTCTGCTGAGTGCAGCGCAGAAGCTGCACACCAGTCGGGAACACATCCCTGGCCAATCTGTCCAGAATATTAAGGGGTGTGTCAGGCGTGGGCTAACTGCAGCCTTTACTCTGTATGTTTTGCTCTTGTATTTAATCTGCAGCAGCACTTTGGGATATTTGTGTATTTCCCCATGCAAGCCTCCAATAATGCCCCGGGTCCAACCAGGGTTTGCATGCACCCCGTATCCACCAAGACCTGGCGTATATCGCCTCGGCACCTCACCGGTATGCTGTATGTGTCATGGGTGTATACAAGAAGGGAAACCCTTTCAAACGGGAAGAGCAGCAAAGGATGATCACGGCATGTGAAACCCAGTTAAAATAGTTAAAAAATAAATACACTTTATTTACAGCATAAAATACCCTGATCAGGGAACGGAATAATAAAAAAAACATAAAACTCAGCACAATAAAAAAAAAAAGAGCCTCAGTCAGCGAGCTAAAGTCCCAAGGGTCCCAATCGGGCTCTGCCACACTTCTTGGCCATTAAGGGTCCGTCGAGTCCACCAGTGGGAGCCCAGCCGACACCGTCCTCCATCGTCTCCTCTGTCACACCGCTGCCGCTAAGCACAGGAGAGCAGTGGCAGTCAACCTTCTTAGTTTCCCGGGGTGTCTTATGAATCTTAACGATTGGGACTTACCCTGCGAGGGCAGAACTCTAAACTCTGCCCGCCGCTGCTACGTGCTCGAATGTATGGTTGGCGTCAAACTGGCGTCCTTACTGCCATCCTCCGGGCCTACTTACTTCGCCCAGCTCAGCTCAGCTCAGCTCAGCTGCTTCCCATGGCAGCTACCTGTTACCACTCCATGGCTCTGAGTCCTCTCTTTCATCCAACCCGCCAGCCCTCTTATTGGCCTTTGGCAGCCACAAAGGGAGCCCTGATTGGTTGCAGTCCTGTGTGGGATGACTGCTAGGTGTGCAGCCTTAGTGCTCAGTAGGTGAGGGGGCGGGAGTCTCCCCGTCCACATCAAATAAACACAATAAAAGCATGCAAAACTGTAAAGATAAAACATTCAAGAGAACACACCAAACCCGCACACAGCAATACATGCAAAATAATAAAAACCCAGCTTAAAACATGTCAGTTCCACCCTGTGACATCTCCCCTCACAAAACTGTTAGCAGTTCCTTTTCTACCCTCCCGAGCAAAAATATAACCAGGTGCGTCACACCATCCACTGCCACAGGAAGCATGAGGCATAAGCCAAACTTAGCTGGTCCTGTGGGGGCCTAACCTGGTTTCATGCTGAATCCCAAGCACCGCTGGCTAGCAGCAAATCTCCACCCCACAACCCTGCAGCTAACCTCCCATGACACCTTAAATTTGACCTTTTTCTGCTACTCTTCTCGTGGCCTAACACTAATATCTGCGCACACACTGCCCATCACCCTCTGCTCAGGTGGCCCTTTAAACTTCGACAGCCCCGGGACATCATCATCTTTCTGCTCCCTGTCACCTCAAACGGTTTGAAAACACGTATCCTGAATCGGGTGTATGCTAGAAGGGAAGAGCAGCAGGGGATGATCACAGCAACAGAAAAACGTGAAACCCAGTTACAATAAATACACTTTAATAAATAAAAATAAACTTTATTTACTGATTCGATTCCAATTCACAAGGTCCCGATTCAATTCAATTCAATTTTGAATCAGACAGTGAGAAATATTATAATTCTGATCATTTATCAGTACATTTCCATATTTTTATATCTATGTATAAAAACGAAGCTGAGACTTGATCAGAGGTGTGATCATCACAGCAGAGGCCTTTGTGTCAAAGTAACGGAGGATAAAACAGAAAAACATGAAGCAGATTTTCCTGTTCTGGCTTTTTACAGCAGATAACCTTCAAAATATTCTGCAGTAGAACAAAAATGGAAGAAAACCACGAATCAACATGTGAACATGACCTGATGCTGCTGAAGTGAAGCAAAGTTAGAGGTTTGATTGGAGACACAGCTGAGAGTTTTGCAGCTTGGCAGAATTTAAAACAATTTAAGTGTCTTCGGTTTGAAGAACAGAAATGAGGCTTTCTTGTTGGAGGTCATTTTTGGAAAAAAACTAAAGCACCTGACATTGCTGTACACAGCTGTAGACCGGTGCGTAATAAGCACCAAAGCACCATAAGCAAGCGAGTAATGCAGAAAATAGAGATTTTGATGGTAAACTGGTCTCTGAGTACACTGAGAGAGAAAGCTGTGCAGGAAGTAAAAGCACGAGTCAGAGGGAAGTCATCTTTGTCAAACGTGACGCGTAGTTTTGATCTTTTGCTGCTGGTTCAGTGAATTTTGGTCAGAGTGACCAAACCTGTGAGACGTCTGCTGTCAGCACCCAAAATCGATTTGAACTGCACCCATAGTTGCTGTTTGGTCACTTTGATGGACAGTTCAGGTTAATGCGTTAAACTGAGTTACACCATGGCAGCGCTGTTTTAAAGCATATTACAAACTGAATCTGGATTACTTTACCTCTGAAGAAATCCTTAAAACAAAGGATTCTAAGGCAAGTTCTGTGAGTGTATTACTTCCTGTTTTACTTTGATAGTCTTCCGTATGGCGCGTGAGCTTCCAGCTGTATGTTTCCCAGTTAGTTTGCGTTGTTACTGTTTTATCTACTCCACCTTTTGTGAGCTAGCTGAGATTTTCAGTTTGCTTCTTTATTGCATTCTGGGTCTCTGCCTGCACATGTATGGCACATGACATGGCACTGTACTTCTATTTATGACTGTGTCTTATTTTTTACCTCACAAAGAGCGTTTTTCCTGCCGTTCCACTGTTTAGTTGTCCACTTCAGTTATTTTTTTCTGGTTTTTCAGACCTTCTGGTGTTAATGAGCCGTGTACTGCATACTTTGAACATTTTTAACTTGGTGACTCTCACTGGTACATCTAGATTTTTCAGCTGAATGCTAGCCTTCATCAGCATCTCTTTTGAGCCAATATTGAGGCCAATATAAAAATAATTTTTTTATTTTTTATATAAAATCGAGAATAACGCTCCAGAAGATATTACAACATATCTATTGAGATCTTATTTTTCTGTCACTAAACAGTTTAGGAAAAACAGAGAGAAACCCAAGAAATTGACCTGTGCAAAGGTTAACTCGTCATACAATAATTCACCCACAGCTCAGTGCTCTGGCCCCCACCTTTTTTCCATGCCGTCTGTCTCACGGTATGGTTAACTATTAGTATGAGCTAGATGGATAATATTTTACATTTAAATCTCCATCGCTCAGCAGAATTAAAATGTATTTAAAGGATGCCAAGGTTTGCTTTAGTCTAGTCTCAGATCGATCTCTGTATGGTGACATACAAAAGTCCGTCTGATAGCAACTGCTGACATTTTCCAGTAAAGTCTTTCCAGGATCACAACTATGACTTCCAAATCCAAGGTTAGTGTTCCAGGTGACAAGGCGTCCTCATCTCTACTTCTGTCCTCTCCACCTTATCAGCGCCTGATCACCAAAGAGGGACGCTGTGCTTTTCGTGTCCCTCTGTCTTCTTCAGGCTCACGGAGAGAGTCTTTGCACAGAGCTTGGCTGCTGGCCCTGCAGGACCTGTGGGGACTGCTGGTAAATCTTCGCTGGAGATGGACTCTTCTGGCCTTCTGCAGCTCCTTCGTGGCTCACTGGTTGTTTTTTGCCTGTCTCTGGTATTTGTTGGCTCATCTGAATGGAGACCTTGATGTGCAAGATCACGATGCCCCACCACAGGGGCATGTTGTCTGTGTAAAGTACATTACAAGCTTCTCTGCTGCCTTTTCTTTCTCTTTGGAGACACAGCTAACCATCGGTTATGGCACCATGTTCCCCAGTGGAGACTGTCCCAGTGCCATAGCGTTGCTAGCTGTACAGATGCTGCTGGGGCTCATGCTGGAAGTATTTATCACAGGTAAAGCGCTCATCAGGTATTCTAATTCTAGTTTTAACGTATAAATTGTAAGACAAAAGAGAAGGTAACAGTTTTTCTACTTTGTAAAAAGTAAATGACATTTACAATTTCAGAAGATTAGGCCTTTTCATGAAATCTTGCAATGATTTACTCGTAAAAAAGGGCATTTTGAAATTTTCCTCATTAAACTGAGTCTATGGTAGCAGTCTCCATTCAATCCCTGTATGCTCACATAGAGCACATCTGAAAGAGGCATGAAAAGAATCAAGACTTTATTTCAAAAGTGACATCACTGTGATTTTATTTATTTCAGTAAAAACGTTATAAAAATTGGTCACTTTGTTCTTTCACTTGCTTTGAGACTTGCTGCCTTGCCTTAAATAACAGCAGATCAAATCATTGCATAAGCATGCGTATTTATTCCTGATGATGTCACAGTATGACATATTTGTTCATGAATGATGTCATTGTCTTAACATTCAGGTGCATTTGTAGCCAAGCTCTCCCGCCCCCAGAAACAAGCAGGAGCCATCCAGTTCAGCCCCCAGGCAGTGGTAGGTCAACACCTGGGCCAGACGTGCCTCATGGTCCGAGCCACCAATCTGCTGAAGCGGCCTCTGGTCGATGTAAAGTTGAGTGCTGTGCTTTACAAGTGTGAAGGTCAGGCTCTCCACCAGACCTCTCTGGACTTCTATTTGGACCATTTGGGCCAAAAGGCATGTCCTTTGTTCATATTCCCACTCACCTTTTACCACCCCCTGGAGCCTCAGAGCCCGCTCTACCCTGCCCTGTGTGAGGGGTCCTCCACTAACTTTGAGTTGGTGGTTTTCCTGTCGGCCTTGCAGGAGGGAACTGGTGACTCATGCCAGAAGAGGACCTCCTACCTTCGCCAAGAAATCAAATTAAACCACTGCTTTGCCCCTGCTTTCAGGATAGACTCCTGCGGGAGGTACACAGTGAGCTCCCAGCACTTAAGCACAGCCCCTTCAAATGAGCCTGTGAACAAAGACTCTGTAGTGCAGATCAACAGTGATGGGATGGAGCAAGGATGCTGAAGGAAAATCTCAAGAGATAGTAATTTTCTTTTTTCTCAGGAGGTATTTCACTGAATCTTGTAAACATTAATAAATGATTAAGCATAAAAAAATCAAGTGCACGTCAGACACACTGTCAGTGCTGGTGCAGACTCCATCACCATCAAGTCCTCGGTGCAAAACCTAAGGAAGCGTGTTCCTGAGGTCCATATTGTAGAATGTTTAGCTGATTTTAGAGTTCAGAAATGTGTTAAAATATAATGTAGAACTATTGTAGAGACACTGCCCTTAAAGTAATAAAGGCTGACTGTGTCGTGAACTTAGGAGTAGAGTGTAGGAGACCTCCCCCACTGAGTGGAAATTCCCCAGAGGATGTATGGGTGGGGGTCTCAACATTTGTAACTGTGGTCTGGAAGGGAGAGGGGTTTTATGACCTCTAGGGAGTTACCTACACCCATAGTGTTTTAACTGTCACGCACACACATCCACACGCACACTCACTCATGTGCACTCACACATACACACAGGTACACAGTCACACACGAGCACTCACATAGACACGAGGGAATGCACACATGTAGGCATTCATGTGCTCGTGCACATAAACACAGACAGAGTTTGCAGCACACCGTGGGGGGTTTTATGATGGGGTCACCTCTATAAAGCTGGCTGTAACTAACAAAGGGGTGAAGATTTAGAGAGGGACACCGGCCTCGTCTTCCCTTCTAGAAGTGCATGCTTAAATGAAGATGAATGCTTAAATGAAGATGAATAAAGATGAATAAAGGTTTTGTGAAATGACTACTGAGTTCTGGTGCCGTCTCTGGAAGTTTCGACGAATAAAAGAACCGGGGTAAAACTGATTTCGCAACAGTTTGTAAAGATTTTGTACTTGTAGGAAAATATCTGGAAATGTTATGTTTGTGCATCCATACAGGAGAACGTGTGTGTTTGTAAAAATAATTACACAAGTTGCTTTTTCATTGTTGTTTCGGTCTGTTTGCTTATACAAAGCAAAATAATAGGTGTAAAACTCTGCGTTCATGTTCCGTGTGCGAGTTTCAACTTGCAAGTGCAAGATTGACTCAATTTTCTTCCTTTCAGGTGATTGGTCAATGTCATGGCAGTCACAAATGTAACAATCCAATCAGAGAACAGATGGGTTTGACTATCAGAGTTGTGCTTTACTGAGCTTCAGGTTCTGGGAGGGTAATACAGTTTGAAGATGGATGATGGTGACAGCGCTTCTGCGGCTCAGTGTGAGTCACTCTGTGGTGTGACTCACAGCACTGGTCCTGGCAGCCAAGCTCATCTGTTCTCTGATTGGACTGTTAAATTTGCTAGCTCCCCTTCTGATTATGCCAGTAACTTGGGCATATTACTGGATAGCTCGTTTAAATTTGCCAAGCAAGTGTTTGCTGTACTGAGGTCTAGTTTTCATCAGCTGCGCCTCATTTCAAAGGCTAAGCGCTATATGCCGCATAAAGATCTGGAGAAACGTATTCATGCATTCGTGACTCCCAGGTTGGACTACTGCAGCTCTCTTTACACTGGCCTTTCCTCCTCCCTTCTCCTGAGATTGCAGACTGTCCAGAATGCGGCGGCACGCCTTTTGACGGGTAGCAGGAAATTTTCCTCCATCACTCCTGTTCTTGCTGGCTTGCACTGGCTGCCAGTTAAGTACCGTATTCAATTTAAAATACTACTCTTCATGTCCAAAATTATCAGTATTTTGGTGCCGAACTACCTCAATGAGCTTCTCAGGTTACACACTCCCGTCAGAGCACTTAGATCTGCTACCCAACTTCTTCTGGAGCAACCTCGCTCTCGGCTGAAGTCTCGGGGCAACCGTGCGTTTGCTGTTGTCATTATCATTTAAAGCCAAAGTGATGTGGCACCATAGCACCATATAAATAATGCTGAACTGAATACATCACCACAAGCCATAAATGAAAGTGTTACATCTACAAGCAGCCAGAAGCACAAAGAACAAGTGTGTTGGTTTCCCAAACAGTTATCTCTGCAGCACGAGTGCAACACTAGCAGAACGCATCAGCACATTTTCACTGAAGATGTGAAGTTTAATGTAAAAAAGGGGAAACAAAGATAAACAAATAATATGCTAATTTTACTTTGAGAGCAATTAAAAAACGTAGAAATCAAAGTAGAAACTCTCACTCTATTTTTTAACTGTGTGGTTATAAATGAATGTCTCCAAACTAACGGTATAAAACAAGCATCTGTGTACAGTACTGTGCAGAACTGTTGAGTACTGATACTGAGTCACAATAGTCTTGAGCAATAGTTTTCCAGGTTTTATTTTCCCAGTATATCTTTGAACACTGGCTGCTTGTTCACTCTTTTCCAGTCCAGTCCCTGTAGCTGAGCTATTTCACAGGAAAGCGTTTTTTAATCCATTCAACACTAATCTGTAACTCTGTTAATCAAAAAAGGCACCTAAGTCAAGGAATGAACCAGAGTTGTATCAACACATAACACAACTCAGAACAGAACCAGTTTTAAATAATAACTTTAGGCACTGCTAACAGCCTGCTGCAAAAACAAGTCGTTTGTTCTTCTTCCTTTAGTTGAATCTAAGACAAACGCCAAGGTTAACACAGTTTGACAGACATAAAATAGTACTTCTGTAACAGAAAAGAGCTAAAAACCCGACATAGCTCAGCATGGTTGTGATTTAAGGACAACATGCAGTATCACCTGGACACCACCGACAACAGCTTTATTTAGCATGGCAACATTGAGGAAGAAAAGCCCAGCATGCAGACGCATGTAGACAGATATAACACAATGCAAAATCTTCATTTAGGTTGAAAGCAAAGTGCAGACACTCAGAATCCATGAAAAGGAAACAGCAAACTAAATGCTTTGATGTAGAGGACACAGGGGGAAATAACACTGTGACAAAAACAAGGACAAAGGAAGGACTGGGTCTATAAATAAAGATATATTAAAACATGTCAAAGTAAAGTGATCTTTCTCCTTTCACCTCAGACGGCTCGGTCATACGGCTCCTCACCAGCTTGCATCCATCCTATACATCACTGCACCAACTGCTGTAGTCAATACTGAACTTCAGCTGCCATACAGTTCAACCTGCCTCTGCTCTGCTTTCAGATTCTCTGAGATTAGTTACAATTTGCACTTTTATGGAAACAAAAGTATCACAAGCATCAGCAAATAATTATTATATAGGGAAGTGTGACAACAACAGAGAGGCCTGGTCTAATAAATCAGGAAACATCTTTGAGAAACTTTTTAAAAACTTTTTTTTTCCAACTCTCCTTATTTTATTTTTTTTCATTAATATTTTTAGCCACTGACAGTTAACCATGTAACACACTGCTTGAGTCTTTCAATTCAGTTGCTTTTTGTTATTAATATGTTTTAAAATACATTTTAAAACTAAAGATGTAGGCTGTGTTTCTGTGTTGATACATTATATTGCCAAAAGTATTCATTCACCCTCCTAAATCATTGATTTCATGTGCTCCAATCACTCCCATGGCAACAAGTGTATCAAATCAAACACCTAATCTGCTTCTACAGATACTTGTGAAAGAAATGGGTCGCTCAGTGAATTCCACAGACGCGGGGAACCACCGTTTCGCAGGATGACAAGTTTATTTTCAGTGTCTGAGTGTTCAGAGCTCATCTCAGTACATGCCCATTTTGAGAGGACGTGTAAAATTTTTATTAGTCCTTTATTCATCCAGGTATAAAAAAATCTCATTTCCAAGAGAGACCTGGCAAAATACACAGACCACATAAGGTTGTGAAATAAAGGTTACATAAAAACAGAGGGATGGAGTGACCAAAAATGTAAAAGTTAGAGCTGCCAGCGTTAGAATGACGCTAACGCCTACCCGCATTAACGCAGCAAATCTGCGTTAGTGAGTTAGCACGGATCGCTCCGTGCGTGTGGCTGGACGCGGTTAGCTCATTAACGTGTAGCGCGGTTAGCCGTGCAGCCCCACGCACAGGGCGATCCGTGCTAACTCGCTAATGCCGATTTGCCGCGTCAATGTGGTTATGGCGTTAACATCATTTTAACAAGATTAACGCTGACAGCACTAGTAAAAATCAATTAAAAATGAACACTAGAAAACAACTCATACCTCAAGTTTAAACATTCATGTTTATTTTCCCAAATGTAAAGTACTCTCACTGATGCACTGCTGCAATTTCTTCTTCCAAACATGTCCAACATTACTGAATGTCAGCCGTACACCACCCTGATATTCAATCTAGACTCACATTGAACTCTGTAACATTATATATGAAGCATTTATCAACTTATTTCATTTGTAACAGCAGTTTCACTTGAACACACACATGAACACACACACACACACACACATGATGTCTCCTTCCTTCAACTTCTCATCTTCTCTCTCTGATACAAACAGCAGTGAAGGGGAAACAGATTAATAACTTTGTCAGTCTGACAGGTTTGCTGTACGGTAGAAAAACAGGACTTCCTGAGACAGTGAGTTTATTAACAGCGGAAAAACAAGGTGCAAAAAACAAAACACGATTTCCCAGTGTTGATAGTTCCAGAATAGCCTTTATTGTCATTGTACATGTGCAGCAAAGTTGTGGGTTCTCCACACCGACTGTGCCAGGAAATAGTGGACCACAGGACTAAAGAGAAAACAGGAGAGATACACACAATCAAGAGGAATGTAGACAAAACAAGAGAAACAAATACTAAAAATAAAACAAAGGCACACAGAGAACAAAAAAGTTTCAGAGATGCGAAGAAGAGACTCGGTCTGAACAGAGTCGGTGTGTGAGGATTTAGATAGGGTCGTTACTCGTTACTTCGTGTGGTGGCATCGCGGAGCTTCCACAGATTCAGTAACATTAGCAAGTGGTGGAGGCAGCAGGTGGATGAAGGAAAAGAGACCCGAGGCGGCCGCCGGTCCAAGTGTGAACTGAACTTCAGGTAAGAAGTTCTGACCTGCAGTCTCTCTGGGTCAGATATGAACCAAGTTTAGGTGGAGTTTATTTTCGTTATTCTGACTTTTTCCGTACTGCGTGCTAGCTAGCATGACGGAGTTTCTATACAGCTGGGTGGTGCTATGAAGTTAATGATGTTGAACTTTATTTTGTTCATAAGTTATTAGAGTTGCCAACCGTCCCGTCTGGTATTCAGAGAAAATATTACGCGTTTCTTATTGAGGTGAAAAGGAACAGTTTGTCCTGGAGTTATTCTGTGTCTTTGCTGCACAGCTGCCTCTTCTTCTTTCATTCTCCCCCCTCCCTCTCCCGTTTCTACTTCAATCATGAAACTGATCAATGATCAGCTGATCGGCTCTCTTGTTTGTTTATCGCTCACTTTGCGCCAGAAAGAGGAAACCAGCGGATGTCGCGCTAAACAACAGCAGCACGTTTAAGCTTGATCAGCTGTTGTTAGAATTTATTTAATATTAATTTCTAGTATCAGCTGATGTTTGCTGGAGCCACAGCTGTAAAGCTGCTGGTCATGATATGGTTTGGTTATCTGGTGAGAGGGAAACATGAAGATGAAACCAGGAGATGTCCTTACTGGATCATCAGAGCTGAACAGGTGATGGAGAAACAGGTTTACCTTTTAGGTGACATGAATGAGTTGAAGGGAAGTTATGAACTGTTTCTGAGAGACAAATAACACCAGGATCCTTTTTTAGGTAGCTGACAGCTGGTAACTGTG